GGGGTAGAGAGATGGAAGCAGACACCAAGCTAGGGAAGACAGCATTGAATATGAAAGATGAGAAAGCTGGCTTGCAGGGAACCTGGGTTTTGTTCTTTGTGGGAGGAATATGAACTTTTGCGTTTAAGCCAAGTTTAATAGTGCATTCCAGTGATCTGCTTTAAAAAAAAAAAATTAAAAAAAAAATCCCACATTTCCTCCTTTCCTGCATACCGTATGTTTTCCCCTTCTATTGCAGGTATTTCTTAGCATGCACTATGAACAAGTTGAAGATGAAAGTGTTACCAAGTTATCACGGATGAAAAGACAAATTCTTGAATATTAGGGAAACAGCCAAATGTTAGGTTAATTAACCTCAACATTTTCAATTTTGATTGACCTTTTCAAACAAAATTGCAGAAGCACTGAGATTGGAAGGAACGTCTGGAGACCATCTAGTCCAATCCTCTGCTCAAAGCAAGGTCCACTACATGAGGTTGCTTAGGACACGGTTCAGTCAGATTTTTTAATATCTACAAAAACAGTTCACAAAACATCTCCCCTGAACAAGTGTACTACAGTGCTTTAAGAAATTATTTAAAACCAAATTTTACAACTTCATTTCAAAGAATGCAAAGAAGTCTTTTGGTAATTTTCTAACACATTTTCCCACATCCAGAATGGGAAATAAGAAAAAACTTTTCTTTACAATGACTGCATTTTTAATACTGTTCAATTTTTAAATTTCATTTTCCAATTACAATTTTAAAACTTCAATATATAAACTCCCGTCTGGATTTGGTGTGAGCGTCTTAAAAGAAAATCAGCATCTCTCCAGTATCAACTAACAACAATTCAGTACAATGCTTATCACTATTTCCTCTCTTCAACTCTTTCCTAGACCATGTAAGGACTTTTGTAAACTCTGTGGACACTTCCTTTCCTACTTAGATTCCAGCATAAGGCCACCGAAGCAGGACACATCACAGCCTCTGGTGTATTCCCACCACCCATCAGTTCTGTTTCTGTCTCCAGCTTCTTGCAAAGGCTATCTAAATTCTGGATAGTATTGACATGTTTCATAATAACAAAATCTCCAGTGAAGTTTTCAGCACTGACTCCTCACAAACACAAACTGTCAGCTATATGGTGCTTATAAAAACAAGCAAAATACAGCTATGATGTATAAACATGTAGTGACAGCACTTGATTCCAATACATTTACTGGTTTACATTTAGAGAGCGCTACAATTTTTAAAATATACTTAAAAAAAAACCAAACCAACACAAAAAATCCCCTACAAAAAGCCCCACAATTCGTGAATCCAATGTGGGTTTGATCTTCTAAAGGTCATCATAGGAGAATCCCTATTTTCTAGAAGAGTTCTCTTTTGACTCTGTAGTACTGAGTCCAGCAGGTGTAAGTTAACACCTGATAAATTAGATTTCTGTCTAATGTACTCTGAAATAGAAATGCCTTAAATTTTATGCATATTTCTCTTTAAATTTTGTATCTGAAGAGATCAAGGAACTTAAATCAGGTAATTCTGATCATTTGGCCAGGAACGTCCATTCTAATTATTTCACCCAACACAGAAGCTACAATATCATTACAACTGACAAAACACTTACTTGCAAATATACAGACAGATCAATGAGTTGCTACTTTACACAGAAAAACATAAGGCTGTCATAACTGAGCAGTTTAAAAAAACCACCTCGCAATCATTTGGTGGTTGTTCAGTGGAAAATAGAAAAGTGTTTAGAGGGCTCAAATACAGACATCAGGGAAAAAGGCATTGCACCATTAAAACACACCAGCCTGGTTAATTGCTGGTAATGGCTACGAATAATGACAGTAGAGAGTACTGAATGACGTAGGTGAGAGGATATTCTCAAAACTGTAATTGCTTAAAATGAGCAGTTCAGTCAATTTGAACTTTTTTTGGGACAGTCTGTACTGCCCCTTCCAGAGCACCAGAAATATTTGGCTGAAGCTGTCAGCGAGAATCTTCCACGTGTTCTGCATCCTACAAATGGTGGCAGAAGGGCAGTGGAAGGAAGGGGAGAACAGGTTTAATACATTGCTCTCCTTTCTTCAACCGCGCCTGTTCACCCTGGGAACATTCTGTACACGCACATGCACACATACATGTGTTTGCCTCATGCTCTACAGCCTGATTATTGATTTTTCAGGAAGACAGTAATGACGTAAATAGCATCTAAAAAGGGGAAATGCTCCTTTGGCAGACCGATTCAGCTTCCACTACAGCCATTTTAAGTGTCCTGTAAGTCACACCACAGCTGGAACTATCTATGCAAAATTCCTGGAAGCCAACAGAAACAAGTGATGGCCAACGCACAGCAAAATGAATGAGCATGAAGTCACAAGGAAAGGGACCACCAGACTCAATATGTTTGGGTTTCATCTACCTCATTAGCCTATTTTGAAGAATGTTTATCATGACACCTATTCACTTTGTACTTGTCACATGTAATTCCCAGTTGCTCCCATTCTGGGATTATTTTCTTTGCCAAGGTCCTCAAGACACCATTCAGTTTGAGCTCCACACTTTCAAACACTCATCACCCAAATATCCAAAAGATATATGACCTACTTGGGCCACCCTTATTTCAGATGGCGGGTGTGTGTATCAGGAATAACAATGTGAGCTGGAAGCATTTATTTCTAATGTAATATGTTAATAAGATCCCTGTCTGCACGATGCCACAGAAGAGCAAGTCAGGGAAAGCAAACAATGACCGAAACACGTACATCCCTCTGTTGATGTTCCAAAGCTGCAGACTAAACAGCTCCTTTTCCTAATGCACTTACTCAGAGCTGTGAGCCTTAGAACCAGCAAACAAGGGTCAGAATAGAACCATGCTGAAAATGAGTCCTTTCCCCTTCTCAACATCCTCTTCTCACGTATACAGCCCCGCTCCACTGAGTACAGTGATTATTTTCACTACAAGCTCCATTACATCCCTTCAATGAGAACAACCACCCACTTACTCTTAGCTATGCTTGTGTGAACCGATACTACAAGACCCTCAAGCCACTGGTCCCTCTGGCTGACTATAGTGGGGGAAAAATGTCAGAAAATGTCAAGACTGAATCTAGCTTCTCTAGGTCTGAGGCAGCTGGCCACCAGATGTAAAACCCTGCAGAACTTCAGTGGACTCAAATCTCTGACACCATGGATTTCCGGAGCTCTTCTGGAACATATTTCTAAGGGAATACAGACACTTAGCAGCATGGAACAGCTGCACCACTTAGGAAATTCACCCCTCCGTTTCATGCTGGTTCTACTTTCCTAGGACATACACTAGATGTATGCACTTTTGTAAGCCACTAAAACTCCTTAAAAACAGTGGATCAGTATTGTTTAGAGAACAGTACTAAATCAGTTTGCCTCTGGCTGCTCAGTACAAGAGAAGGGCAGAGTAGGGAGGTTTTGCCAAGTTTCATAAAATTATGCCCGCAAAAGGAGGGCTAAGTATGGCTCTACTAACAGCAGGAGACCAGAGCCATGCCATTCTTTTCAGAGAAACTGAATTCATCCAGAACAGACTCATTACAGTTGGTGGAACCATTTTAATCCCATCCGTCCCCTCCAGGATGTACGCCCTGCTGCTCTAAAACAGGCAGAAGGATTTATTTTTTTTTTTAGAAAGCTCTAACTGCTACCCAAGGAATGAGATACAGTGAGGCAATTCTGCCCCAGGGAGAGCCAGGTGCTTTGCTTTGCTGCTTGTCTCACAAAAGTTGTACCCTGCAATAGAGCACATTCGCACTGGATTAATGTAATCAAAGGCACCCTGCTGTCTGGTCACTGACCTATCTGTAAACCACAGATGACATGATGCCATGAGTTCTATTATATATAATTACCTATTGCGGTGTGACCATTGTAAAAGAAACAAAAACATATACTTCACCTGCTGCTGTTAATCTATTTGCTAGAGAGCAAATGGAGAGGAACAAAGCCTATAAGCGCCTCAGCTTTAAGCACCATTTTCTTCTCCTCATCTCCCTTCACTGTTCCTCCTATCTCCTCCGATGTGTTCTTCCTTATACATGGAACAATCTTCCCAGCTGCACTGGCATGGTTCAACCCTTCTGTGTTCTTCCTTTAGATCCCATTTATAGCCTTATCCTTTCATTCAACCCTTTTATGTCACAGCTTCCTCTCCTCTGCCTGCATCAAGGTGAAAGATGTCTCAAAGATGTATCTTATCTGCCCGGGATTGTACTCGCAGCGATGGAGACCATCAGGACAGACTCTCACCTGATGTAAATCAGTGCAGGTCTGCTGGTGTGATACACAATCATGAATTACAGAGAAGAAGGTGAATAAGGAACACTGTTCTCTGATTTCCAAGACTAGAGTGAGATCAACAGAACCCGCTATCTGCTGGCTCAAAGGCAAGAGGAAGCAGCTTTCACACCCAGCATGGTCCAGCTGTGGGGCTTCCTGCCACAGGACACTGCAAATGGAGCAGCTGGACTCCTTCCTCAAAGAACAACAAAACCCATTGGGAGTCATGAAATACAAAGAACTGTCCTCAGGTTCAGACACTCCCTGAGCCTTAAGTCACTGAAACTGGGAAAGTATTCTGGGAATACCAGCACATACCCACTGCTTTCTTGTACTCTTCCCTGAACACTTCCCGCAAGCCACTTTAAGGGACAGCACAGCGGGACAGATGGGGCTGTCACTAGACCCAGTGAAGGAGTTCTTTACTGGCACTAGCATCGTGTCTCACATACATGTCTGTATACACACGAGAGGAGTCCATGTGTGCAATACTCTATAGGTGTAATGGCAGGAAAAGTAACCTCCGCAGAGTGTTTGGTGCTCACTAGCAATTAGCTTTTATAGTCCGGTGAACTACAACTGTAGCTGCTGCTACAAGTCAGTAACTAATACACATTTATCTCTGTTGCTCATCAGTAACTCAGAAGCTACTGGGACATGATATTCATGCAGATGTTAAAAAAAAGAAGTTTTCATTACAATATCTGGCAGTGGAACTGAAGCCAACTGACACTGCCAATGACAAGCTGCTTATTTGTCTTGGCTTTGTTTCGATTATCAAACTGAAAGTCTATATTGCCAAAACAGACAAAAACTGCTTTCCACTTTTCTTCTAATTTTTGTCGGAAGTCTGATGCGAGACCCCTACAGAAGAAGTATGACCAAGTTATATCAGCATCACCCTTTCTGCTCTATTTACAAATGCTCTCATGAACACCTATATACACCAAGATGGAAATATACACAGGTTAAGTTAAACGTTATCTGAGTTATTGCTTTGTGTCTGAACAGCTTAGATTGTATAATACTGCAGCAGCAAACTGTTGTACTAATCACTGAAGAACAGCTCACATACAAATGAAAGTATTTGATGTCATCATCTGGCTCTTGATATAAACACAACTAGGCAACAGAAGCTTACAATGAACTGGCTTTTGCTAGATGGAGTTCAGTGTTTACATAAGGAATCTTCTTTTAGACAGCAATTTTATTTACTTCCAAGGAGTTCCTTGCTTTGGAAACATTTTAGACAGCATGGACAAAGCTTATTGTGAGATATTATATAGGAAATAGCATTAAAGAAAAAAGCAAAGCCAACACTGCAGAATATGCGATAGTAGACTCTTATTTTGAAACCCCCTCACGAAGAACAGTTGGTTATTGGAAATATTTTACAAGTAATTTGTAGGATTTCCAGAAATCCTCATCTTGCCTGAATTAACCAAGGTCTGGTTCTTCCAGGGCTCCCCAATACCAGCAGATACTCGGTCCCATACACTAGATGTGAGTGACTGACTGTTTCAGACATCTTCTCCGGCTGTCCCTTAGGAGCCACCGGGACTGATATGAATCCAGACGGTAGTAAAATGCTGGATTTAGCTACTTGAATTCTTTTGTGAATGAACAGGGGTCAGATCAATTCCTACTTACCTCTGCACACTTCTGGTTTCAGAATTGACTTTGGGGGTTTCATCACTGCCTAGCAGAGTGTTAATGCTTTCATTAATATTGAATGTAAAGACTTGGAAGAAATATTTGACGAGATGTAACCGAGAAGGAACAGGTTATCATCACACGCTGCTGACAGGAAGCCGCTGGACTGGGGACGGTGGGGCTGGGTCGATCAGCCAGCCAGTGTCGGAGAGAACCTCGCACTCGACAGGGAAAATAAACAGGACCCGCTCCTGAGGATCTGCAGCACTGAGTGACTCAGGCTGTCGAGCCATCCCGACTCGAACCTGTTGAGGATCTCGGCCCAGCATTTCCCTCTGAGCATTAACGCGAGTTAGAAACGTGTCGGTGAGCCCCTCCGCTGGCGCCCGGC